TGGAAGAGAGAAGAAAAGCTTATTATAGGAACGTGCAAGCTACCAAATCTGCAGCCTGAACAATAACACTATTTTTTCTAGTTATTTCTAGGATGAATAACATTTAAACTATTCTTAAATGTGAGGGGGGGAAAAATCGGTTGAACCAGATGCTTACTTATTCTTATCTATTCTGGAGAACTAATTATTCCTGTTGTTGGTAGTGCTAAAGCTTACAGAATCGCTTCCATCTTTGAATTACTATAATTAAGGCAATAACTTCCACATCTAGTTAACATTGCTGTGCAGCTGGTGCATTCATTGACATGCAGATTTTGGATTTTGTAAATTTTCTGCCATTGTGAGTAAAAATTTTAAATGCGTATTTTCATTTCCAAAATGTCTGTTTCTCATGGGGAAGCCTTTATAAGGCAAATCAACAGAAACGAATTAAATATTTTCTAAAAACTTCTGTAACATCAGAGGAGGATCTCGTTAAACTTGATTTGGTGACATTTTGCTTAAGGGAGTATAAGTAATCACAAATGTCTTTGGTAGGTGTAGTCCCTCTGAAATGTGGATACCATTCTGTAGGCATGGCTTCTGGACTTGCTTGCGTGCACGTTCTGGGACACGTTGGATGTTTGACTTCTGAAGCTCTAGTTTGGAGAGTTAGGAGCTAACGCAAGAATCAATTCAGCGCTGAAAACCTGAGGTGGTTTACAAAACTAAAATTCTATAATTAAAAATCACTAATTTGATTCGTATATATTCATGGCCACTAATTAGAAAGTGCTTTAAGCTGTAATTTTTCTGTGCGTCTTTACCTGACGTCTGGGTTTCTGTCAAAGCGTATGGTAAGACTTGTGCTATTGGTGCTAATTTTATTTACTTGCATATACAGTATTTTCTGCTATGAGAAATTTTCTTTAGGCCTATCAATTTAGATAGATGTTGAGAAACTTCATTAGTCTTGTTCATTTCTAATAACCAGCACTGCTATGATATTGCTTGATACTGGTGGCTGATTGTTCCTTTTTAAATTGTTTTTCTGTGGCCCTCGTTTTCATTACGCGAATGCCTCGTAGGCATTAATCACTTTTGCTTTGTAGTATCAGCAAGAATCAGAGACGTATGGTGAATTGTTAAAATAAAGGATCAAATATTGATTTGTGCCAGAGTCGAAACGTTACTTTCTTTTCCAAATTGAAAAGACATACAAAACAAGGTATAGTAATTATTCCCTTCTTAGAGGATCAACATAAAATTATCTGTCAGTATATAGTTGCGGGTCTGTTGGTGTGTAGTTGAAGAGAACTAAAATTGCACGCAGCTCTCCGGTGCACTAGCAAATGTTCTCATAAATAACACGGGACAAGGGTGCTAGCTGCAGAGCGCATTGCAGTGGGTCCAAAAACAGTGTCCGGTTACCAGATCCAAATCCGATGTCCCGCAGTGTTCGGTTTCAGGAATGCACTTGGAGCACTTCAGTCCGTGGAACAAATGTTATTTTTACCTCAGGGAGAGAAGTTAACTCTAGAAATAGTGAGATTTCTGTGGCGATGGGGAAGAAGCATTGTTACAAATATTTCAACCGTCGCTTTTGCTGTGCTTGTGAAGAATCGAGATGCTTTGGTGTTTTTATGGGTTTCTCGATTTCTGTTTGGCGGCCCGCGGGCCATCGAATGTACGTGCGAGATGGTGGTGGCCCTGGAGTGCTGGGGCAGGTGGCAACAATGGTATTTGGTGCTTGAATTTTGAGCGTGCTCCAGATGGTTTCACTGCCTGGAACTCTATCCTCTAATGCTGGGGCAGTAAAGAAACCCGGTACTATTAAGATCATATTTTGCTTAAACGAGAAGACCTGTAGGGGGGTTGGCCTCTAAAGTTATGAAGTGGGATGTAAGAAAAAAAAACATTAACGAGACCCATACCTAATATTAAATTGTGAGAGCAAAGGAGAGTCAGGGTTAGGCTCTCCTTGCATTTAATTAAAATAGCAAAACTTTGGCTTAGGAACAAATAATAGTTCTTGGAATGGCTGTGGACTAGTTAAGAACTTCCTTTTTTTTTTCCTAGTTAAAATACTCAGATGCATAGGTGACCTTTTCCTTTTCTGCTTCTCCCACTACTCCTGTTTTTTATATAATTTTGGGGGCAAGGAAACATAATATTGTTTGGAGAATTCATCGACAGTGGTAAACAATAAATATTGCAATTTAAGGGACTGATAATATGATCTCCTTTTTATCACAGGCCACGTACTTCAGTATTGAGTCCACTACCTGGCTAAAGCGCGTCTTCCAGGAAGGCATTTTGTCTACATTTGAACTGTTTGTTCCAACAATTAAATGACGAGCTCGGATTTCTTTGGCATTAAGTCCTAGCTAAAATTTACTAGGTTTGCTTCTTCGATATTTAGCCATTTTTGTTTAGGAGATGCTTAAATGTTTTTTTCTTTCTGTAACTATGAGAACTTCATCCCTGTTATTCTATAATTTCTGTGGGATTCCAAAGATCTGTTAAAGATTATATTTATATCCAAAGGGCCTTCCTTAGCCAGTAGGGAGTATATTGTATCTGTGTGTATATTTTTCTCATCATGTAACATGGATTTAAGAAACCAAAACGTTCTAGTTTTAGCCTCTATGTTTCAGCTTTTCCTTACTGGCAACACACATGGTTTGTGGAAGTGGCTAAATGGGCTTAAGTGATGTTCCTCCTTCCCTGGTTAGAGATCCAGTGAAACTGGAAGTTATCCAGTTTTTGAAGCGTAAGAAGAATAATGGTTTGTTCCTAACTTGGGTCCAGGCTTTCACTCAAAAACCATTCCCTCCTCTGCTGTACATTTGTGTAAACCTGACCTTTTTAAATGGGTCTCAGCTGTGCTTGCTCTCCAACCACTTAACTCTTTCTCTTTTGTTTCTTTATCTTCATAGAAAAAATGGATTTGTAAAAACTTGATCCAATTTGGCAAAAGCAGGCAAGCAGTAAAAAAAAAAAAGAAAAAGAAAAAAGAGAAAAAAAGCTCTTGAATTTTGGATAGTTAATTTTCCCCATTATGCTGTGTTTTAAACGTACCAAGTTTCCATAGCGGGCTCCAGACATCACTGTGGTAAAGCATATTTTGGGAACCCTTTTTAGAAAGGGGCTATGACCGTAGAAGATGGAGCTTTCTTTTCTTATTGTACTAATATTTTATATTGACCAACATCTTAATTTCTTATGTAGTAATTTGTATTAGAACACTCAGGGTTTTTTTTTTTTATTGTGGAAGAGATTTGCCAGTAAAGTAATCATAATGATTATTTGGTATTAAGGTTGGACTTAAGTATTCTGTTGCTCTTTCAACAGTTAATGGAATAGAATAACTGAAGACATATCAAAAATCTCTAAACTGAGATTTAAGCTTCTTAAGATCAGGCTATTAATTTTTGCATATGATGTGCAAAATGGTAATCAGTTTTTGGATGGACTGTTGTTGAATAATTCATGAGTGTAAATGAAGATTGTATGGAATCAGTTGGATAATTTTGTGGAATGCTTTAAGTACACTAAAGAGCCAGAAAGGCAGTTAATAGTGCTTCAGCTTTATTGCTGTTTATTATAGCTGGCAGTTCAGTTGTATTTTTTTCTACTTACAGATCTCAGGCTTTGTCTAGAACCGCAATAAACAAGCGGACAAATTATTAATAGTCAGATACGCTGTGTCCTGTGGCAGCAACATAATTTTACATGAAACCGTCCTAATTGGCAGCCTGATGGTCGTATTTATTGTTGGGCTACTCCAGAAGATCTAGCAACGCAGGAAGGATCCCGGCAGATGTCAGGATTAGAAACTGCGTAAGCAAACGGCTGCGCGCAGCATTGTGTTAAACCAACGGGGAACTTCACATTACATGTCCTGAGTTTTGCAAGTTAACTCCCTGCTCAGTTTCATTAGTGTCCCCGCTCCTGTCTGTTCCTCAGCCCTATATCAAGCCCAACATGGTTTTAGTAACCTGTTTTGAAAACGACTGAAGTAAGCAGAAATGTTTCTGCCACCTGGAAAGAAAGTTGGAGTTACAATTAAAAAAAATGTAAATAGCTGAAATGTTTGCTTCGTGGTCAGATTTTGCTGTGGACCTTAGACTGTTTGTTCTGTTTAAGCAACAGGAAAAAAACCAGGATTTAAATATCCAGGTGCTCTTGTTCACAGCTTGCCGGATTGGAACATGTTTCCCTTGTCCATTACAGTTGCTTTTATGATCTTTACAGCTAATTAAATGCTTATTAGTAGAAAACATAGGATGGTGAGCAAATGGAGAAACGCATCAATCTCTTCATTTATCTGAGTTCTGAAACTCCCATAAAAGATGTCCAGACTCCCTCATACAGGGTGTCCCTCCTTCTGCTGGAACAAAGGCACCGAGGCGAGTGGAGCTGCCTCAGCACAGGGCTTGGGCTGCAACTCGCTTTGCGCAGGTTTAGTTAAGTATTGCTGCATATGTCCATGAATATTCTTGAATCTCAGATTTTAAGTTTTGTTAATAATCTTGCTCATCTGCTGAGTTGTACTAACACGTTACTTTGTCATTTGAACTCTGTCCTAGGGAATATCCCCTGGTTTCTCATAGTGTTACCTCGTAATTGTAGCAGATTCACAGATTGTGTTGCATATTGTTAAGAGCATCTGAAGTACTCGAGTGTTTCACCGTTTTCTGGTTTTTGTGTGTTTTGTAAAGCACACGTTGCACATGTTTTGTGAGTGAGGAATGTTTTTGTCAGCTCTCAAGCGGCCCGTGCAGCGTGAGATGCAGGATGTACGTTGCTCCCAATATATTAAGCCTCTTGCTGCTGACAAAATAACCTTCAGCCTTCTGTGTTTACTTCTCTGCAGACTCGGTATTGATATTCAGTGCATGAGGAAACATTGACCTAAATACTGAGGGATTCCTCATTAGCTGAAAGACATTTGGCAGGACCTGCCTTCAGATGCTTTTGTTCTTCTGATTATGCCTTATAATTTATCTTTCTTTCAGCTGTCGGACAAGCAACAGAAAGAGTTTGATTGTAACATCCAGCACATCGCCAACGCTCCCGCGACCACACTCCCCTCTTCACGGACACACAGGTAACTAACTCTCCAGGGCTGCTTTTCCTGGGAATCATTAGTGAAGATGTCCGTGGTCATTGCAGTGAGTTTGAACATATTCGTTATTCAAAAGATCGCCTTTGTAACTTAATCTGACCATAGTTTTTAACTTTTTTATACTTATAATAAAGCCCATATAATTTCAGAATAAATGTGTATGTCATGCTTAAGACTGTGATGTCTGGCAACCCTGGTACAGGATATGATCCACACCACACTGAAGTTTGGGGAGTGTTTTATTGATGTTTCTTTGTTTTTTAGGTATGAACAAGATTAAAAAATATTGCTTCTGTTTAAAAAAAAAAAAAAAACTTATAAAAGTTGACTTTGTTCTGGGAAAAGTAAATGTAATCTAGGACTGTGTTCTTCATCATCTCTTCCCTGCTTTCTTTCCACTTCCCTGCCTTATCCTTTCTCCACTCTTTCTGGGGGATTCAATCCTTTAGGACCGCTACATCCTGCAGAAGAAACTTAGAGGAAGAATAAAGTCAAATAAAATTAAATACATACATGTAAGACAATATCCTCTTTTGAATCTCCTAGTGTGTTTTGGTTTTTTTGTGCCAGTGGCTGAACTGTAGTTCTTATGAGAAGAAACATCTGGCTTGTAGTTGCGTGCCCTGGCAGACTGTCAGCTGTGCTTCGTGCCCTCTTATGGTCTCTATCTGCTATTTAGCGCAGCAGGAAATGTGTGGTTTTTTTCTACATCACTGTCAGTTTTATCATGTCAGCAACTAGGAAATGCTCATTTCAAAGCAAATGGGCAACCGCTTCTTAGTCATCCAGGTGAAACGTGTGGAGATGTTTTTCTGAAGGAGAAGAAAGAACGGTCGTTCATCCTATGGTAACTGTGGGTTTTCCAAAAGGGTCCTCCCTGCCGACGCTGCGGCTTGCCCGAACAGCGCTTCTTTTGGTGTTTTGTGTGTTATCTGTGACCGCCTTGCTTCTGCTATTTCAAAATGCAAGAGAAGATGGTTGAGCTTCTGGTATGGCCTTAACGGACACCAGTCTTAGCATGAAACAGCTTGAACGAGTGCAGCACATAGGCGGCAACAGCAGAGCCTGTCTGGAAGCACATCGCAGTTGCATGTGAGACAAGTAACTGTTGTTTTCATTTTAATCAGACTCTCCTCCTACTACATGGCAATATGTTCTGTAAATACTTTCTGGAGATGGAAATTTAGGAAATGCTGAGAAAGAACAGCGAATTTATAGTAGCTCAGCAGCAGGAGCCATCTGCTTCTGTTGGCAGAGCATTGTATCTTGAGAGGTGACATCCAGCCTGTCAAAAGGAAAAAAGAACTTATTGTCCAGGGTCACCCACAAAAGTCTCGACTGCCATTTAAACTTTCATAAAAACTTGCCATATTCACTCAGGATGCTATAAAGCCCAGTCATGGACGGCTCAGGAATTACTTAAATGACATTGTTTTTTAAATGACCCGTATTTTTTTCAATTAAAATGTTAAAAAAAAAAATCTTAAAAGTAGTATATTCAAATTGTTTCAGTTTTGCTTTAGAATCTCAGATAAAATATGTTCAGAAGTAACTTGTCTGAATGCTTTATAGATCCAAGAGTTTGCATGGGTCAGTTCTACCTCACTGTGAACTCCTTTGGTTCTGCTGTGTGTTATGCTGACAGCAATAACTTCATAAAATTTCGTCTTAGCAAAGCCTTTTTGATTGATGTTGATGATTTTTGATTTTCTCTACTTAGTTACATTGTGCTCTTTAGTTTGCCCTTAAAGTTGATATGTGTGTTGGATTTAACAAATTCTAAATTAGCAACCCAAATATTTAACTGAAAGGAGATACAGAAAGATGCTTCTCAGAATATGAAAGTATTCTTCCTTGGCAGATTGCAACAAGATGTCAATGTGATCATTGCCGAGAAGACAAATGCAGAAATATACACAATGAAAACAACTGTGTTTTCTTTTCTTTTTGATATGCTTTTCTGCCCTGTCTGTTTCAAAAAATGAAAAGTTGATCTTAGTTTTCTTGATGCTATGTCAGGGTACAAGCTTGTATTTTATTAGTAGTATGCAACTACCTTCTAGGAGCTAGAGTAACCGATTAGTGATACATCTTTTTTTTTTTTTTTTTAGCTATAATTGTCAAATAATCATTTCCTTTATTTTGTTCTGATGTTGTATATGGGATTTAAGACTATTAATTAAAAGGACATCCTTTGTGACTTACAAGAGCAGGCAGTGGAGAATAGGAAGAGAAATCGCTTGTAATTGGAGTTCTCTAGCAGTAATGTGTTTAGCAGTCTTCCCTGAGAAAAATAATTTGTTCAGGAGGCAAAAGGAGATGAAATTTAGAGTCTTAAATGCTTTTCTTAAGAAATATCATATATGTGATGTGAGTTTGAGAATAAGCTATGATATCTGTATACTATTTGAACTGAATCTATCAATCCATCCATAACCTGGTAAGTTACTAAGAAATGCTGGAGTCTCTCCGCCACGGTTTCTGCTGTCTTGAATAACTGCTCTTGGTGTCCGTTCTAAAGCTCTTCTACGAATCAGAGAAAGAGCGAGCAGGCAGAGAAACCAGGGAGGCGTCCAGAAATTTCTTATTTGAAACCACTCTAGAATCAAGTTCTCTATGGCACTAGCCTCAGAAGTTGTTCCTCTGTATGTAACGTAAAGGTCCGTGGGTGTGGTGTAGCACACTCGACTGTCCAGCAGGGAAACCTGCCTCCTAGTGATCCCTAATCTGGGAACATACACTTTTGCTTGTATCTGAACAGCATCAAGGTCAGATGTCAGGCAATTTCATAATGTTGAAAATCCTAGGAAATCTAGAGGAAATGTAATATGTGAAGAGACCTAAACGTCTGCAATGGAAGTACATCCAAGTACGTTCCTTCTGACAGGAAGTCACTTGTGACTGAGGGGCTCCTAGTGTATGTGAAGTATATTAATTCGCTTCTTAACTTGTATGTTATCCCCCAATGTTTTCCAAAGTGACTTTGGATCTTGGTACGGAAAACTACAGCTTGTTAACTTCAAGGGAAAATCACGCTGCTTATTTAGTCACCCGAACTTGGACAGAAGTGCCCAGTTTTAGGAACACAGGTTTGAAATTTTTAATTTTATTCTAAATTCTCTTTTCTTTCAAAATGAAGAAAAAAGAAGGTATACAGATATGTTTGGACCCCATCCTAAATGTTCTGAATGGAATTGCAAAATTCAAACTTACTAGATAGAAAATAAGTATTTCTGCATTTCCTTTGTTAATAAAAAAAAAAAAAACCTGATGAATAGGTATTAATATGGACTATAGTAAGATGTTTAGTGTTGCAAATATTTTAGTTTCCCATGAACTCTGCTTACTCTACAGAATAACTTAACATCCACTTCAGGTTTTTGAATGCTGCATACACCTATTGCTATCAAAGTCCTAGATGCTTTTTTAAATTTTTTTTGGCCTTTCATCATCATAATATTAGGTATGCTATACTCAGCTTTATTAGATGGAGAAACACTACTTCTGCATTACTACAGCACTGCGGCACATGCCAAAGGGACTTAGAATTTTGTAAGATTATTTATGAACTAAAATAACATGAATAATATACTCTGTTTTAACTGACATCTACAGTTTTTTTTTTTTAAAAACCACACCCCTATGTTACTCAGGTAATAAATGGTAAAAGAAAATGCCAACCATTATATCTTAATTGAATTCCTAATATTGCTGAAACTGAAATGCAACGTATTTTGATAGTGCTTCCCTAGTTGAGGTTGTTTTCTGCTTTCATACACATGCAGAGTAGTAACAATTACTTGACACAATCAGTTTTAGAATTTCTAAACCCCTTTATAAGGCTGTGCCACATTAGTCTTAGTTTTGTTGCAGGAGGTTGTGCAGCCATGCATGTGTTAAACAAGTAGTTATTCACCTCACTGTAATTGTTGGCAGATGTTTATGATTTTATTCTGAGATTGTTCAGAGTGAAGCATCAAAATCAGGCACTTGAAAATTGTCTTAATTTTTGTACTTCTCCCTAAATTGCATGTCTTAAAGGAGTTCAGATGATACCTGGTGGACTTGGAAATAAATGGTCCGTGCAAATGAACAACCAGAGTGAGTTTCTCAGCTAATCTTGCATAACTGAACGTACCAATTAAACTTGCTCTCCGATGTAATTTGTGCTTGCCGGAGAATATAGTAGGAGTCCATTGAAGAGTGGACGTTATTAGCTTTCAGTCCTTGTAAAGGTTATTTTTGTGTTCTTATTCCAACCAAAATCTTGCTATTGATTTTGGAGTTTACTGTTGATCTTAAATTTTAGTTTTAATGTGTGAATGCTTTTCCAGTATATGGAAAAATTTGTAAAAGAAAGGATTTGACTTATAAAATATAGTTTCTTATGAGGTTACAGCATTAAGCTTTCCTTTTTAATGCTGATATCTGTATTTTGGCGTTTAGTAATCCCTTTTAAAGGGGTGGTAGTTCTGCCACAACTCCTGCAATTCTTACTGACCTTTGAAACATCTCATTTATTTGAAAATGAATTCTGTATCTGTTAATATGTAATTTAAATTACTTTCAATCTGAAAATTGCAGAGAAGGTATGCACAGTACATCTGTTACAGTATGCAGTCTCACATCATGAGGTGAATTACAAAATTATTGTTAGATTATTTTTAAAAATTAGAAGCTTCAAATCAGTGGAAGAAGCAACATCATCTTTACAATTCAACAGGAAAGAGATTGAATCTTACAGCTGGATGATTGACGTGTAAGCTATTTTGAAATTTGTTTTCCACACTGTAATGTAGCCAAATTGCACAGTGGCTTCCAGTGAAGACACTTGTCACTGCTGGTGGGTTTGGCCTGCTCCCATCTATGATGCCACGTGGAGGGAGCTGCTCACGGGCAGCGCTGTAGTACTGAATTAACTTATTGTGCTTTTGCACTGCAAGTTCAGTTCCTCCTTCTGGCAAAATGGCCTTTATTATGAA